ATCCATAATCTTGCCCTGTCGTATTTTGAAGGGTTTAATGAAATGGTTATACCAATAAAAGCAAGACCTTATCAGATGAATGATCTTGTCCTGCATTATGCAAGGTAGTAATTTTTGATTTATTATCAAACGAGTTGATAAGAAACCCTTATTCGTCATGTTCATGCATTGCATTCTATGTTATGGATACAAGGGAAAAAAGAACAAAGTAAAGCTTGGCTTGTAATTAATTATAAACCGCTTAATAAAATTCTCAAATGAAGTAGATATCATATCCCTAATAAAAATGCCTTAATTAATTGCATATATAAAGCTCACAACCTCTCTAAATTGATTTAAAATAGAGTTATTGGTAAATTCCAATCAAGAAAAAGATATATATAAAACACCATTTACTGTACCCTTTGGGCATTTTGAATGAAATATCATTCCCTTTGGACTAAAAAATACTCATTCTGAATTTCAATATATTATGAATGATATATTCAAAGATCATTTTGAATACGTCATTGTTTACATTCATGGTGTCTTAATGTTCTTAAAAACACTTGAAGAGTATTTTAAACATTTAAAAACTTTTAAGTAGATAATCCTACAAGTTGAATTAGTCATTTCAGACTTCAAACCCAAAGATTAAATTATTTCATATTAAATTTTTTTTTCCCACACAACATATCAAATACTATTATTATTGCTATTAATAGAAGTATTGAATTTTTTGACAAATTTCCTGATCAAATTCTTGATAAAAATCAACTGCAAAGATTTCTTGGAACTCTAAACTATGTTGTTTAAGAATTTGACAATTGATGCTACTCCATTATTTGATGGATTAAATAAAAATCCTCCTCCTTGGGCAAAGCTTCATACATTAGTTGTCCAAAAATTTAAGCAAAGAGTTAAAAACCTTCCATAATTAACTCTCACTAATCCTAATTTCCTTAAAATCATTGAAACAGATGGCTCTAACTTAGGTTATAGTGGCATTCTATAACAATTTAATTCCTCTAAAAAATAAGAATTAATTTGTTTTGCATCTAGTAAGTAGAATCCTACCCAAGATAAGTATTCCACTATTTAAAAAGAAATATTATCAGTTTTGAAAGGAATTTCAAGAAAATATTTTGAATAAAAAATTTTTATTTCACGTTGATTGCTCTTCTGTTAAATTTATTTTACAGAAATTTGTTAAAAATTTTGCTTCTAAACAGATTTTTGCCACTTAACAAGCTTAATTATCTATTTTTGACTTTGATATTAAATATATTAAGCGTAATTCTAACTCTATCCAAGTTCTTAACCCGTGAATTCATACAGGGATACTCAAGGGTAGATCACCCGCCATTGGCATTGAATGCCTCCCTTTAATCCTAACATTAGGAGTGGCATTTCCTCTTGCAGTGGGCAAGGAATTCATGTTACGAATTCTATAACTGCATGAGTTCCGATTGACCTACGAAAATATTTTTATGAAAAAGCTCCTACTCCTACTTCCTATACAAAAAAAAAAAGAGAATTGTCATCTACTAAAGCTACTCCTTCATTCAAAGAAGGTGTAACATCTGAACCGATTTATGCACTAAACCAATCAAACAAAACATTATTGATATAAATCTTAGGGATTATAATATAAATAATAAAAAAACCATATTTTAAAGATAATTGTGAAATAACTTTTTTCCTTATTCATCATTCACTAGGGAGACTTACAAGAAAATCTCAATTCAGTTAAAATGTGTCGCTTTTGATAATACCAAAAATGATGCAACTCGTTTTTTTTTACTGCAAATGTATAATACAAAAGATTAATCATCACAAGGATTGAGATTTAACTCTATATCAAGAAAGACTTATTTATCGAACTACAAATTTACAATATGAAGTTGCAATTAACTGCTGGACTTATGTCCAGGCAATGATGAAAGATTTATTTTAGTAAATCATATCAAAAACATTCATGGCTCATCATTTTCATAGAAGATGCTGTTAGTAAAGAAATATCAGCTTGGCTTTGTCGTTGGTGAGGATATTTCGAGGCAAATCAGTCATTAAAAGATTATTAAATATAATGGGTTGAGGCGTATCTCAAAATGAGAAGCATTAGTCCAAGAAAATTATTGTAACAACACAATTTTATTTTTTTTATTTATAGATTGTTAGACTGATTGAGTTTGGGCTTGAACTGCAAAGACGATTTGTACTTAAATGGTAAACTTGACTTAATGTTAATTAAAAAAATTCATCAAATTAAGACCCTCATTCAAACTTACGAAGCTTTACAATCTTCATCATCAGCTCCTACTAATGACAAATTATCCATCAAAGAAATTTATGAAGGTTTTCATAAGAAATACCCTCATAAAAGTGCGAAAAGGATTCAATAGAGAATTATGGAAATATATCAAGAGCAATTCCAAAAATTGTTCAAAGCACCAATCTTTTTTCTTGAATGTTACAAAGAAGAAATGACACTTGACAGAGAATCGATGGCTGATAACGATGATCAAGATAACCGCAAAGGATAAACCAACTAACCAGAAGGAACAGTGATGAAGTAACAACGCTAGCTTTTATAAACCTATTTAATAAAAGTTATTCTCTTACATTATGAAGATTCTTTCTTAGCTCGAAAGAAATTTTTTCTTTTTGAAAAAGTAATGGTTCATTATTTAGATTATATCATCCACAAAAAGAAAACTAATTAGTGATATTGTAATAAATTTAGACTTTGAAGTTTGAGTCTGTTGTCATATATAGGGCTCATTTATTATGTTTTCATGTCCTTGGTTTGAACTCATTATATTCATTGCATGATTATTTGTAAGAGTATGAACTATAAATTAAAAAAAGAGCCTATTTTCATCGGGAACTTTTATAATTTATTGTTTTTCTTTTGCCTTTCTGGTTTTGGTGGTTGGTTTGGTTTTTCTTTCTGTTTTAGTTGAGTTTATTTTACCTATTTGATTTTTGTTTTGTTTTGGAGTTTGTTTTGTTTTTTGGTTCTTCTTTTGATACTGTTTGTGTGGAGTTGTTTGATTGATAGTTCTTCTCTTTGGTAATTGTTTGTGTAGTTGTTGTCTGGTGGTTTGGTTGTTACTGTATCTATCAAGATTGTTTTTGTTGTTGTTTGAGTTGTTCTTCTTTGTTCATGATGAGTTGTCTTCTGTATTAACTGTAGTTGGAGGTTGTTATCTTTCTCTATTTTCGAGTTTCTTTTTGGGAGACTTGTTGTTGGATTTTTTTTGTTGCTCTCTTTATTCACTAGTTTTAGTAGATTTTTGTTAAATTTAGTTGGTGTTTATGTGGATCTCTATCTTATAGATGTTTGAATGTTGTTTAACGTTGGTTTTGAGTATGTAGTTTCTTATATGGTTCCTATTTTTTTTTTAATGTTGGTTATGATTTCTAGTTTATTTTTGTTCTTTCTTTGTATTAGATATTAAATAGATTTTATGGGTACTATTTTTGATTGTTTGTTTCCTAGGGTATTTTTTAGGTTGATTTATAATATGTCATTTCCTTAATTAGACAATTGAATGCTTATTGAAATTTTATCTTGGTATTCTTATTTTTTTTTAATTTTTTCTTCGTTAAAGCTAAAAGAGATTATATTTGAATTGTTTAGTTTAAACATTTATTTAAGTCAACATCTCAATCTCATATCCTTTTGGTTGGGTTCAGTTATGCTGCTTTTTCTCTAGTTCTTTTAGTTGATTTGCAACTTGGTAGCTAGAGTAGATGTTGTTTGTATACCATGATTTATTTATTTGGATATGGATGGATTCTCTTGATTGTTTTAGGTTTTGACTATACTCTTTATCTTTATCTTTCTACCTTCTTATTTTCTGTTTTGTTTATGACTTTGTTTTGTTTATTTTGATTATAAATTTTTTGTGGCTTTTGTTAGTCGGGTAAGCTATTTTTTTTTTGGTCTGTTCTCCTTTGTGGTTGTTGTTCTTCTTTTGTTTGGTTGAGCTTCTTTATTTTTATCATTCTTCGATTTTTTTTGCTTTGGTTTTAGAGTTGTGTTATTTGTTTTGTTTGTAGGTTCTTCTATTATTATTGTTAGTTGTGGAGTTGTTTGCTTAATGATTGTTGAATTGTGGATTGTTGTTGTTAGCAGAGGATGCTCTCATTCTCATTTGTTGTTGTTAGATGTGGAGTTGTTTGTTTGGTCGTTCTTCTCTGTGGCATATGTTGGGCTGTCGAGCTGCTTGCTTGGTAGCTTCTAAATGGTGGATTGTCGCTGCTAATGAAATATGCTTTCAGTCTCATTTGTTATTGCTAGTGGTGTAGGTGTTTGCTTGGTAGTTCTTCTCTGTGGCAGATGCTGTGGTAACTCTTCACTGTTAGTATGCTGCTACTAATCGAGATTGCACTCATTTTCAGTTGACCTTATCATTCTTAAAAAAATGGTTGGAGATACAATTTTTTTCATTCTTCTTGACATGTTGAAGGAACAATTTGTTGCTGCTTACATGTGATTATTCATCTTAGTGATGTTTAAGCCAATTGTAGCTATTGTTAGATAAAGTTGTGTATGTATTTCTTCTTCTTGAACTTTGTTTGTTTCTTTATTTGAGCTTTCTCCTAGAGCTCGTGTCCTGATTGTTCGCTCTCTTCTATATATTTTTTTCTAATTGTTAGTTGATAAACAAATAAAAAAAATACCAAAATAATAATAATTATAAATATAAAAAAAAAATCCTTGGCCTCTTATTTCGTGAAAATATTTGCGTACATAAGATGTACGCAGCTCTGCGTACATCAGAGGTTATTCAGGGGTACAATGGGGTTATATCTGGGTTATACCTCCTTGTAACCTCCAGTATAACCCGGATATAACTCTCCTGTACCCCAGAATAACCTCTCTGATGTATGCAGATATTTTCCTTTCAAGTCCTGCAAACCAATAAATAGCACATAGGGATGATCTGCTTCTTTCGTCTGCCCGGATTCGCTTAGGATGACCTCCGCTTTATCGTGCCCTCGTTTTTATCGTTAGGAAGAGCGGGAAGCTGACAAGCCATAACGGTTTCAACCCCTTCTAGGGTTCCAGACGAAGCGTAGAAATGTTGAGCAAGAAGAGGAGGCGGGAAGATCGGCCGTCGATCCATCCTCATAATCGCTACGCCGAAAACCCACCGGACTTCGCGCAACTCGCATCACTATACTCCTCCTTCGAGGCCTTCGTCTTCTTCTCCCGCTCCGGTCGACCCACCATCGACTGGAAAGACTTCAACGCCACCCGCGAGCTCACCCGCGTGCTCCTTCTCCACGATCACGCCGTCAACTGGTAAGCTTGATTCCTTTGTTTTATTTGAAAACTAGAGGGAAATTGTTGGTTTCATTGTTATTTTTTTTTTAAAAGACTATTTTAGAGGAATTTAAGATTTGATGGGCTAATTTGAAGGTGGATTCCTGATGGGCAGCTCTGCCCTACGGTTCCAAATCGATCGAATTATATTCACTGGATCAGTGATCTGCTGTCTTCCGACCTTATACCCGCAAGACATGGATCGGATGACAGAGTTAGAGGATTCGACATTGGGACTGGTGCTAATTGTATTTACCCACTTCTCGGTGCATCTTTACTGGGATGGAGTTTTGTTGGGTCTGGTAGATTTCTCGTTTCTCTATCGTATTTTGTACTTATCCTGTTTGATGAAGTGCCTGATGATGTGTTTGGAATGCTGCTCATAGATGTAACAGATGTTGCTCTAGAGTGGGCTACAAAAAATGTCGAGAGGAACCCCCACCTTTTGGAACTCATCCAGATTAGGAATGCTAATGATCCATTTAGTTCAGGTGGTTTTACATCGAGCAGAAGATATATCATCAATGAGAATAATCCCGAGCTGTATGTTGCTGGGAAGACTCAGCCTCTGTGTCAAGAGGTGGAGGAATCTGGTATCCTACGACAAGCTGTTCTTGTAGGTGTTGTTAAAGATGGTGAAAGTTTTGACTTTTGCATGTGCAACCCTCCATTTTTTGAGAGCATTGAGGAAGCCGGTCTCAACCCTAAGACTTCATGTGGAGGGACACCAGAAGAGATGGTTTTCCCTGGTGGAGAAAAAGCTTTTATCTCTCACATCATTGAGGATAGTGTTGTGCTACAAGGCTCATTTAGGTGAAGCGCTCAGTAACTTGTCCTTCGCCATCTATTCTTAGAATTATTCAGGGACAAGTGACCAGTTCTTCTGTTCTATTTTCTTGTTGTAGGTGGTTCACAACTATGGTTGGGAAAAAAGCCAACTTAAAGTTTCTAATATCAAAACTCCGTGAGGTTGGGGTGTCTATTGTGAAGACAACAGAGTTTGTCCAAGGTCAAACAGCTCGATGGGGCCTTGCATGGAGTTTCATTTCCCCAAGCAAGGACTTTATTTCATCTAACACACTTATGAGTACCAAAATTTCCTTTACAATTGAGGTTTATCCATCATGCATGTTTTGCTGTGATAAATTTCATGCTTTACCACTTTTTTTTTTTTCTATCACTATCATAAAAAGTTTTTTTAAACATTTAATTTATTTGCTCTAAACTTGGTTTACTTGAAAAAACAAGTTGGTTCTGTTTTCTTTTGCATCATGTTTTGTTTTTCCTTTTTGTCCGGAAAAATATATGGTTTTTTGGTAAAATTGTTGTCTAAAACATTGTAATAAATTTGCTTTTTTCTAAGAAATTGTTGTGAGATTATCATGAATTGGTTAGATAATTAAAATTAGAATCACTATGCAATAACAAAGAAAATCGGATAAACTGATTTCAAAATATTATAGTTATTGTTGTAGTTAGTTAATTATGTACATAAAATTTGAAATAAATTTCCAGCACTAATGAAGTAATTATTTATGATGCAATTGTTTAATAATACTATTTAATTTTAATTGATAACAAATAATTTGGCAACTTCCATCTATTATAAGGGTATTTTACGAGCTAGCTAAAAAGGAATGAGAATATTTAGAAAAGGGTAGTGGATTTTGCACATATTAGATGGTCTATCAATAAAAATTTGCCTTGAATATTTTCGAAGTTGCTTTTAACAAGTGTAAATTCTAATATAGCTTAATTGTTTAACTTTTTCATTGGGTTGCACTTTTCTGTGCAGTTGTAGTCTTTTCATTTACCAAACATCCTAAAACCATTTTTGTTATTTCGGAAAGAAAAATCAGTTATTGTCAAATACCTCTAAATATGAGTTCAAATCTATTATACAGTTCTATTGATTGAATTGGTAGGAAAGTTAACTTCTTGTGAAAAAAAAATTGCTTATTTTATTTAGGGCTGAGAATTTGGCTCTGAGATTGCCAAGCACTTGAACATTGATTCAATATTTGACTTGGATCTAAATCGTATTGAAGTAAGCTAGTTGAACTATGAGTTGAAATCATTGATCAAATTTTTTTCAGGTCTATTTCAAGCCATACATATACCAACCTGAATTGACTCGAGATCGGCTCTAAGTTTTCAAAATGAACTAGAAATATATATAAATATATATATATAAATATATATATTCACACACACACACACACACACATAGAATGCTCAATAAAATTTTAGAATGCACAAGTGGTAATTTTTTGAGTATTTTAATAATTTATGTGTGCTTATTCGTTTTAAGTTGGCTCAATCGAAGTGAGTCAACTCATTTTGATTTTCGACGAAGAATATATCCAAATAACTCAATTTGAGCTACTTTGGTTTGATTTTGAGCTAGATCGAGCTCGATTAAATTTTGAGCTGAACTGACTCGAAATTGAATTCAACAAGCCATGATCCCATTTTGTGCCACATTCAAACTCATTCGAGCAGACCCCAGCTTGGCTCAAAATAGGATCATTCATAGCCCAAATTTTATTTTCTTATGTTAGCTTGTGTTGCTAAATGTCAAAATGCTAATAACTTCTTTCAACATCAATTCAGAAGATATGCACAGTTAGTGAATGCCGGCATTATCATCCAATTTTGTTTATATTCCTAACATTATGATTCTTCTTTCTCCCTTATTAGTTTGCATCACATAGGACATAAAAACACTTATTTATTTTGCTGCACTTTATTATCTTACATTATATATTAATTTATCTGATTTTATACAAATTTAACCAACATGATAGTTATCTCACTTCATTTTAACTTAAACTTTAATCAATGACTCCGTTATTAAATCTTGCCGGGGATGCATATCAAAGCACTGTCTTATTTAGCTATAGAAACCTTTCATTGAACTCAATGCTTTAAATTAGATTTTAATAAACCTTTCACAATGAACTCAATCCGGTAGTTTCCAGGCTGCAAGGAAAGATGATATAGTGCATTCCTTAGTACTAATTTTTCTTAAAACATATTTTTTGTCTTATGAAACCTTATCTTACATAGATGACCCCAAACCTGTGTTTCTCTCATCATTGAAAACTCATCTAAAAAAACTTTATTTCAGCTTATGAGCATAGTTGGGGTATCGATATTGTGGAATCTTCAATTAATCCACGTTTCCAAAAGATCAACTTAATTTATTAGATGCATTAGCACCATTTTTATTTGAAGAATGAAGTGCATCATATAATTTTGGTATTTGTCATTTGCTCATCTATTCTAGAAGTTTGAAGAAGTCAATTTATGGATTATTTCATTTTGAATGATATTATTATACAAACCATCATTTTCTAATATAAAAATTATGTTTTTGAAGCATCTTAGGATTCCATGATTGAGGAACATAAAAGTAGCAATGCTCAATCTAGGACAATTACAATACCAAGGATATGGGCGATATTAAGGAATTCATGATGACAACATATTATGCAGCTTTGTTAAATTTTCCCTGTTTTAACAATTGTTTGGTGCAATATTACATGTATGCTAGAATAAGTCGCAAATTAATCGAAGCTGAAATGTTCTGCAAAAGCAAGTCATCTTTGCGATGCTAAGTTGGGGTGCAATTATAAATGCTTATGCTAATAGAACATGCAACTAGAATATTGAAGACTAGTTACAACTGATGTTAAAAGAGCATGAGGACAAAAGGGTCAAACACAATTGATGTTTATAATGTTAAAACAAATATATATCTCTTTAATATTACTGTATATTTTTTGTAATTAGTTATGTTATTGATTTAATCTACTATATATTCATGTAGATGCCTGCTGAAGTTTAACGCATACATTTGATTTTGAGCAATCTCCCCTTTATAGCCTTTCTCACTTCTACTTATTCTCAGCAACTTAATGAGAGGATAAATCAATTATTTCATGAAATCTTATATGTTAGTAGAGCATCAATCTCTTTTAAACCTCACAATCCCGTTATTGTTCTTGCTTGCCTACCTGTACCCCTGAACCAGCTCAAAAACTTACTGGATTAACATTTCCTTGTCACCATCGTCTTAATCTGTTTACACTATAGTTCTCATGTCCTGCCTTGTATCTAGGCTTCATAAACTCCATTGCTATTCAGAACTTTCTCTCTACTTGCTGCAGCAATCAAACTCCATCAACCACATTCTAGCAAATGACTTTCTATGTCGCCTTTAACTCAACCACATTCCACATTACTATGCAATATCACTTAGAACATAATCACTCGTTCCATCATAAAAAACCTATCCAATATCACCATTATCTCCAACCCCAACTATATCCCAAGAAAATTTCAAGTTATTTCTCTTCTTGAAAGATATGAGTTAGAAGGATTTATTAATGGTACTCATTCTCATCCCTCGTCTGCAATTGTGCCACAAATTATGCAGATGTCAATGTCTATTTTAACTTTTTCTCCCTCCTTGGAACAACAACCATACCACATTTAGTCAAACTCTTATCTTCCTCTCCACAAAATCCTAAGAACTATGGAGTTCCATTGCTAATACCTACGCCAAACTTTCCTGAGGTGATATGAAGCAAACAAAAGAACATTTGGAGAACAATGTAAAGGGAACTTGCTACATCATTGAAAAAGTGTAGTTGAGCAATAATTATGTAGATGACTTGGCATCCTAGGCAATCATATTGATGCTGAAGATCTCATCGGCAAGATTCTTGATGTCTTAGGCCTAGAGTATCATGCAATTTTCTAGGCAACCAATTGCCACTAGACATTCATCTTCTTTAATGAACTCCATGAGAAACTCCTCAATAAAGAAGCATCCTACCATTCACTGCAATAAATAATATTGATACATATCATATTCCTCATATCCTCTATTGTTGGGTAGCCAACTCATGCACTTCGTTGTGATTGTCCTGTCAATCAGGAAGGACGGAAATTAGACAGCTAAATTAGGAGTTCTATAATTAGGAGCTTCCTTATTTAAATTATTTCCAATATCTTTATTATGATTTATTTCCCTTTTAGCTGAATATTTAGATTAGAAATATGTATTATTAAGTTACCTAAAATAGATTATGCACTTTATTCTGTTCCTAAAATAGATTGTAAGATTATCATTTAATGGAATGAAAGCAAAGGGAAAAGGCATCGAGCCTATTCAGAATTCAGACTATTTTTCTCAAAACTTTGACATGGTATCAAAGCCAAAATTGCCCTAACCACCGGTAGTTATTGGAGGACCGTTAAGGCTCCGTTGGCGGGAAGGGAGGAACTATTTCTTCGCCTTGATTCACCCATCTAAGGATTTTTGTCCGCTGCGACTGCTTCGTATGCCTTCGATTCTTCTTCTTCCATCTCCCGTGTCTGGTTATGTCTCCTGTGTTTGATTCCAGGTGCTATCTGCGATCCTGTTCATTTGTTACCTCGTTTGTGATTTAAGTCTCATTCACAATCGGCGATCTCGTTCACTTCATTCGCTTCGTCTGCTTCGAATCTCCTTCGCTAGCCATCGCTGCTTCTACGGCATCTTCGACTACTCCCGCTTCATCTTTCTCCGCTTCGATTTCGACTTATTCGTCGCACCTAAGGATTGGAGGCTTCAACACTCCTTCCTAGATTCACGACTTCGACATCTCGACTTCAACACTTTGGGCGTGAAGATCAGGGAATATATCGTCCTCGTCGTCGAAAGAAGAATTAATAGCATTTGGATCGTATAACAAGACGCAGATCCTACTTGTGGACTATGATCAGTAACATTTGAATCATGACACGAATCCTATTTGTAAGCTATGATCGATAGCATCTAGATCATGTAACTGGATTCTATTTGTGGGCTATGATCAGTAGCATTTGGATCAGAACACGGATCCTACTTGTAGGCTATGATCGATAGCATCTGAATCGTGTAACTGGATCTTATTTGTGGGCTATGATCGGTATCATTTGGATCATGACGCGGACCCTACTTGTATGCTATGATCGATAGCATATGGGTAGTGTAATTGGATCCTATTTGGGGGCTATGATCAGTAGCATTTGGATCAGGACACATATCCTACTTGTAGGCTATAATCGATAGCATCTGGATC